TCCGGAGGTACCTGGGCACCACCCTCTTCCTGTTCAGCTTCGCCCTGGGGTTCTACCTGCTGCTGAAGGCTCTCGGTGTTGACCTGCTGGGGACCCTGGAGAAAGCCAAGAGGTGGTGTGACCGGCCGGAGTGGGTCCACATTGAAACCACCCCCTTCGCCGGCCTCCTCCGGAATCTGGGCATCCTGTTTGGGCTGGGGCTGGCCCTCAACTCCCAGATGTACCTGGAGAGCTGCAAAGGGAAGATGGGCCAGCAGCTGCCCTTCCGCCTGAGCTGCATCGCGGCCTCGCTCCTCGTCCTGCACCTCTTCGACTCCTTCGACCTCCCCACAGACAGAGAGCTACTGTTCTACGTCCTGTCCTTCTGCAAGAGCGCCGCTGCCCACCTATGTGCGGTGGCACTCATCCCCTACTGCATTGCCCAGGTGCTCAGGAGGGGTGACAAGAAGATTCTGTAGCTGACCTGCAAACTTGCGTCATAGCTGCCAAGCCAGGCTGCTCTTCGGGGCAGGGCTCCCCCTTCCCTTTCCCACTGCAGTAACAGGTCTCCCGGCACCACGGACCTCACAGCTCTGGGTTACGTGATCAGCTCACACGCACGGCTCAGTGCCGTGAAGTGGAAGGGGAAGTTCACTGTCTCCTGTGTGGGAAAGGAAGTGAGTGACTATCACACACCTCAGTGCTGGCACAGGGTGAAATGTAATGGGGTCCTCGTTTGGCCACAGCCCCTGGCCCAGCCCAGGCTGGCACAAATGGTAATCTCTGCTCTAGGGAGTGTGAGTGGATAACGGGGCAGTCAGGAACGCTGTCCCAGCCGAGGGCATAGCCACAGCTGAGGGGGAGGTGTCCCACACAGAATTCAGCTCTAGGCCACCTTGTCAGCCTCTTACACTACAACGTACCAAACGCTCTCCAGAGCGGGGAGCAGTCGGCACCTACCCATCTTATGGCTCAGTCCCCTCTGGGCCAATGTGTTTGGCTATGGACACACTGAACAACAGTGCTGTCAATCAACTTGGCCCCAGCAGAGCAGGGATGGCGTGTCCATGGGCTCCCAGCGCAGGAAAGCTGTGCTGAGGTTGCAAGGAGTGCCGTAGACGTGGGTGTGTCTGTGCGTTACCAGGCTGTTACAGCTGGGCGGCACCCATGGGGCCCAGGCCGAGGGACAGGAGCTAGCTGTGAAATGCCTTTGGCAATAAAATTAGTAAATTCCACTCAGCCTTTCCCACCCTCAGGCCATCTTACTGATGGGGCAACCTCTGCTCATTGCCCCTGTGGGCCCTCCAGACATACAGGGACCCAGAGCTCTCCAAGAGAGAGTCACACGAAGGGCCAGACCGATGGTCCATCTAGCCCCGTGTCCTGTCTCTGATGGGGCCAGGGCCAGATGCTGCGGGGGAATGAACAGACCAGGGCAGTTATCCAGTCCCTGTCTGGCTGAGGGGAGCATTCTAGAACAGTGGTTCTCAACCAGGGGCACACATATCCTGGGGGTACACAGAGCTCTTCCAGGGGGAACATCAACTCGTCTAGATATTTGCCTAATTTTACAACAGGCTACATAACAAGCACTAGCAAAGTCAGTACACACTAAAATTTCATACAATGACTTATTTATACTGCTCTATAGACTATACGCTGAAATGTAAGTACACTCTTCATATGCCACTTGATTTATTATATAATTATATGGTAAAAATGAGGAAGTCAGCCATTGTTCAGTACTAGTGTGCTGTGACAATTTTGTATGTTGATGTCTGATTTTGTAAGCAAGTAGTTTTTAAGTGAGGTGGAACTTTGGGGTACACCAGACAAATCAGACTCCTGGAAGGGGCACAGGGCTCTGGAAAGGTTGAGAACCACTGTTCTAGAAGGCAGGAACTGAGGGGCAGCAGCAGGGCCACGGCTGTGGGAGGAGCAGCCTCAGTTCTGTCGAGGGGAATGCTGAGGACGGAAGCAGCTCAGTGCTAGGCACTGACACTGGCGTACCTGCACCAACACAGAGCCCTGCTGTAGGGGGGTTGTCGCAGTGTGTGCCCCGGCCTGGCCCGGCTTTCCCTGTTCCAGGCATCCTCCTAGTGACTGACACCAAGCATGAACAAGGCCAAAGTTCAGCTTCTCCGCTTGCAGAGCTCAGGTTTCCATTTCAGGCCCAGAGCAATGGTGATCTGTCTCCAGCTTCCTACCATGCGCCCAATACAGCGCACCTGGTGTCCTACCGATCGCTCTGTGCAGGGGCAGGGCCTTGACCGGAGAGAGCGAGAAACCACTCCATTCTGGCCACGCTCCCTGGCACGGGGAAGATCTCTGCTCCCGTGGCTCAGATCAGGAGTCAGGGCCGATGCCTGGAATTAGCTATGTGTTCAGTGGCAGGGGAAGTTCCAGCAGCAAGATATGTATGAGGTGGGGAGGTTGACTTAGGGCATTTGGGTTTGAAAGCTGAACGTCCATTCCAGGAGCTGCTCGCCTGCATGCAGTTTGGCCAGATAGCCTGGGCATTTGACCACGCTGACAGATCCCATAGATCTTGGTTCTCATTAGCTTTATGCTCACACAAGGCTTCAGGCTTCCATCACCACCCTCCCTCCCTCCAGCCCCATCACCACAGACCAAGCATAGGACAAAAAACCCATACTGGGGGGGACAGGGACACAAATCCGTGCAGGAAATCGGAACTGGTGCAGGATTCAGCCTCATGCGTGAACAGCCTCAGAGTGGCTCCTGACCTGTTATCAGTAACTTTCACTAATCAGAGCAAGGTGCGTAGAGCGTGCACAGAACAGCAAGAACAGGAGGGAGCACCGCTCATTTCCTGCCCACAAGCGAGGGATGCTGGAGAGCTGTGAGCCCCCACCACTCCCCTGGGAGCAGTTGGGTATCTCTCAGACATGAGATTCCAGCTGCAATTTTCCTAAGTGCGTTAGAAACCCAGATCCCACTCACTGCCAGGCCCAGCCCTAATTCTTGCTACCTCTGCTGTGCAATGCAGTGAGTAATCCCAGCCTTCAGAATCGTAACAAACCCACCTGGCTGGTTTGCTAGCAGCGCCGATGTCACACAACAGGCTGAAATTTGGTCTCTGCTGAGACGTTACCTGCATTGCTGTGACCAGGAATTAGAAATGTAGGCTGCTGTTGGAGAGACAGCGTCACTGCAGGCGCATAAATAAAGATGAAACTCACGGCCAGCAGGAGGGACGCAGACTCCTTCTGTGCAGAGATGTCTCCAAGACATAGCTGCCAGCCAGTTGCTTAGATTAACACTCCAAATGCCGGTATTCTCCAATCTGCCTGCCAGCTGAACAGATCCTTAGACTACATGTACCTGAAGTGAGCAAAGGGTTACATGTCATTTGTGAATCCATGGGATCACCGAGCGGCTAGTGACCACCCTGGCAGAAGCACGAGTGCCTGCAATCCCTGTTTGTCTGTATGGTGCAAGATGTTGCTTCATCGTTTCAAGGTAATGCCAGGCCACAGTTTGACAAACACTTGCGTCAGGTTTGTAACTGGGTCAGCGCCAGGTTGGCAGAGGTGGCTGCTGAGTTCAGAGGTCAGTGATAGCATGTGCAGCCAGGCCGGACCCCATGCTGTGCGTTAACCAGCACAGTCCAGCAGCACCAGCATAAACAGGTTAAACCCTCCAGCACCTGCAGTGGCTTCAGAGCATCAGCAAAGAATGGAGGCCGGCATGAATGTCCTGCACAAGGCAGGGATCCAGGCGATCGCTTCCTCCAGAACTGGTTCCTCTTGACTGCCAATATCAGCCTTCTTCATCCACTTCCCCATCTGGTTCCAGCTCTGCGAGGCAGGGTGACAGAGACCAGCATGAGCCAGTCTCACCTTTGATTCCTGCCATAACATTGCATCCCCCTCACCCCCAGAGGTTTCCTGTTGCCCTGGTTAAAGTGAAAACTGCTTGGCCAACATGAATGATGATGCAACATCCTACATCTATCACTCGGGCTCCTGCAGGCTTCTCTCTCATCTGGAGGGCAGCGCGCACAGGATCCTGACTAGGGACTCCTGTGAGCTACCTCGGTGTTTTTCTCTGTAACGGTTAGCAATTGTCAGAGCCCAGGCCCCTACTGGGATTAACCTCCCTCTTCCCATATTCTGCCCCAAGTACATGTAAAGGGGTGTTTGTACTGGTCACAGTAACCCGAAATAAACCCGCTCACACTGCAGTCACTGCCTGTTGCTTTTCAAGGGTGGTACTGGCCACCAATGGCAAATGAGGCAAAAGCCAAGGCTCATGGCTTACAGCACAATGTTCCCTGGGTTTGCTGGAGGCTGGACCATGAGGGATGGCAAAGGAGCTCTGCCTGGCAGTGTGGTCCCCAGCCCTGGCCCAAGAATGTCAGCGCCAGGAAGCGTCCAGTTAACGAAGCTAGTTGTACCGTTTATCTGGGGAAAGTTTGCAACATCATGGCCAGGCCAGTGAGAAACAGAGGGCGTCAGCCCCCTGCCCAAATACACCTGACACTCCCTGCTCCTCTCCCCACCCAACTTCCCTGGCATATCCCGGAGCCACAGGACCTGGTTTGAGGTCAGAGCTTGGTCGTCAGGGCTCTGCGCGTGCACACATCATTCTCGTAACACAACATTTATTCGTCTAGAGGGAGTCAGCAAGTGACCTGTCGTCCCAGGTCAATGAGCAGCAGATGGGGGAATCCTCTGGCGAGGGCTGGTCCTTACTCCTCCAGGGTCTGGTGGCCAATGAAGTCCTGGAGCAGGGCCTGCACCTCTGCTCGCTTGCTCATCCTGGTCGCCTTGCCTTGGAAGCGGTCCCGTTTCCCGGCTCCTTTGCCTTCCAGCAGTTCCGCCACTCTAAAGGGACAGATCCACATGCTGAAACCAGGAGGGCTGGGTGTGCTCTCTCACACAGCCCCAAACTGGGTGTGCCTGGGGGGCAGAGGAGGGAAATGGCCCATCTGCCCTGCCTCAGATATTGAGCCAGACGCCAGTGAAATCAATTATCTGATTAAAGCAGCCAGAACTTAATTTCCCTTCATTAATAATAATTGTAGCGTAGCAGGTGTGTATCAGGGCAGCCTGCTCCTTTAAGGACCAAAGGCTGGTGCCAGGCAGCCCAGCTGGCTAATCAGACCCAGCGGAGAAAGGGAGGACAGGTGTTGGCTATAAAGAGCTGCAAGAAGCGGGGGGGGGGGGGGGGAGCTGACAGACTGCAGAAGAAGCAGCAGGAAGTCCCTGGAGAAGGAATGCTCCAGGTGTGACACCCCAGCTGGGTAGAAATCTCCAGCTGGAAGTTTTATTTTCCTTTTGTGAGTTTGCTGGGTGTTTGGACAATAACTAGGGCTGGAGGCTGACTTGACAGCGCTGATAGTCCCCAAGCTGGTCAGGAAGGTTGCCGGACTACAGGGGGTCACAGAACAGTTTACCTGGGGCCTAATTTTCCAACCACTTCACTGGGCCCAGCCAGGAGGAAGAGCCCAGCTGCCTTCTCGTCTCCCACAGTCAGGAAGAGCAGGGTGTCCTGTGAAGAGAGATGGATCCTGCTGCAGAACATCTCTGCATCCCCCCCTTCGATCAGTGAGACTTGGGAGTCCCATATGTGAGTAAGAACACCCCTCCTCTTTGCTGTGAACAGGTTGCTGGAGGGGAGACTATTTGGGGCACTACCTACCTTGGCGGGGGGTCAGAAATGGGCTACTGAGCCTTTCAGTCCAGGTCACAAGCCCCACACGGTCCTGGGAGGCAGTGACTGGTGTCTGGTGACCCCTGTGTTAAATGAGCTGGGGGGAGACCCGTGTCTGGAACACAAGGACCTTTCCCTCGTTTGGCTCTAACCGGCCCATTGATCAACAGGAAGGGCACACCTCCCTGGGACAGGCGGGGCCCCTCCAGATCACAGCTGGGGGGCACCGATGTGGTAACAGTTTGGGCTGCAACATCCTAGGGAGAATGAGGCCTTTGTTTTCTGGCCAGTGTATTGTGAGGGCTGGTCAAGGGTGGGCAGAGGCTATGTAGGCCTTAGAGGAGGCCAAAGGGCCAACAAGCGGCGAGGACAAGCCAGAGAGCGCTCACCTCTGTCCCGATCTCATTGGCGATGATATTCATGAACTCAGAGTCACCGTCTTTTCTGTAAAGGGTAAAAGGCATTTCAGAGATGCCTCGGCCTAGAGAATCCAGACATACCTCTGGTGGTGAAGGCCTAAACTCTATGACGGAGCCGGAAACCAAACACCCCACACAGACCAGACATTGTCCTGGCTTGGCTTTTGGTTGATTTTTAGAGTCAAATTTCCCACCAGCTTCTTATCAACCACTGTCAGGGAACTGGAAGCCAGACCCGAGGTGAGCGTGCTTTGTGCCGAGGGTCAGGGCTGTGGCCTCTCATCATTAGGACAGCGATTAGCAATTTTTACAGAAAAATCCTTTCTATGTTTCCCACCCACAAATGATGAATTATTAAAGTGTTTACTCTGTAACCAATGGAGTGCTTCCATTTTTTTGACAATACCACCAGCAGGGAGGGATAAGCAAACAAATGTACTGCTCGGCTCTAAAACCAGCAGAGTTCAACAGCCAAAATACAAGCATGTTAGCCTTTAATTACGAGCCTTTCCAGCAGGCCCAGGCAGTTGGTTTAATATTCTGTTTCCTTAGTTTATGTTCTCCCTTAAAGAATGGACCTCTGTTATAAACAGCCCTGAATGCACAGCAGAGGGATGCAGCTGCCATGGGACATTGTCAGCTTGTGTTATACAGGAATTCAGACTACATGATCACAGTGCTCCCTTCTGGTCTTAGAATCTGCCAGTAAGATGTTGCAGCACCCAAGCCCCCTTCCCCAGATCTGGGCCTTACCTGTGTAACACAAACACTCGGCCTCGGACCGGATTGCTTTTGAAGTTCTGTGCTGTCAAAACTGCAAGGTCTCTAAGCAAGTTCAAGTTGTTCTGCAAGGAAAGCAAACCCCATGTTGCAGACCCAGGAGTCAGTGCGAGAACATGGGGATGGGGTGGAGTGGAGTCGGGGATGGAGTTTCCTGAGACAGGTGGAGTCACAATTTTCACCGCTTCCAGGGTCAACACAAGGGAGATTCTAAAACTTAATTCTCATGAAATAAGATTACTCAGAATACTGTTGCTGTTACCAAAGCTCAGACCCTCGATGGAGTGACCTCTGGGCCACAGCCGTACCTTCTGAAGCAGTTTCACAGAATTCTGCAGCCTCTTCACAGCCTCCACGTGCTCCTCTGCTCCATTTCTGGAAAAAAACAAGGCAGAGTTTGGGCTGTCAAGGCGCTGGACAGAGAGGGCTCCACCAATGAAGCTGCAGCAGACAACATAACACCAGAGCCAGGGGCTAGAAATGCCCTCTTTAGGGTCACATGCTGTTCCTCTCTGGGCGAGGAGAAGCAAGGATAGGGGAAACTGGGAAAGGACATTACTTAAGCAGCAAGGTTAGTGCCTTCTCGGTGCTGTGACTTCGCTCGACAGACTTCAGTACTCGATTTCCTGCCAGGAAGACCAAGTTGGTTTTGTTCTTTTTTCCCTTTTCTGTGCCAAGGAGCTTAATAACCTTAAACGAGAAACAAACACCCTTATCAGAGAGGTACAATGGTGTGTTACACACAGCTAAAGGTCCATTAGACCATGTGTCATTGTGAATGTCGACTTTCTATCATCAGAATTAAACCCACTGAAATCAGCCTTCAAATATAGCCAAAAAATAGATGAGACACTTTCATTAGCCATGTGCCATGCTGTCTAACGGGCCTGGACCTGGTGTGTCAACAAGCCTTCTATACCCTAATATCCCACCCCACAGCGCACCAGGCATGCCAACAGGCAGGGAAGGGTCATTTGTCTTATCAAGTTGACTGTAAGGACATTGAAACTCAGAGGCAGCTCTGGAATTAAATTTTCATCTAATTCTGCATGAAGAACACAGGGGACTGTTCACTGGTGGCAAACCATCACTAATGCAGTGGTGTGGGGGGATGTGAGTGGACAATGGTAACCACAGGATGCATGGCTGTGTCCCACCACTCTCACTCTGGCTTGTGATTGGGGTTCTCTGTCCAACAGGGACAATCTGCAGAGGGACTGCAAGTCCTGCGGATCCAGGGACTCCTACTGTACCAGCTGATCTACAGGACGGTGCCTGAGCACTGAAGGCGCTGAAGCAGGGCGGCCCTTACCTGCAGGTCACTTAAGTTGGAGACATGAGTCCCGCAGCACATGTTGTCGTCTATGCCCTCGATGCTTATGATGCGCACTGGCCCTGTGTGGTTATCTGGCAAACCGCGGCTTCTCACCTAGCAAGAGATCCAGAAAGGTGAGCATTGCAACTCACGTCCCTGGGACTAAAAGGAGACTGGGTGGCATATTCCCCTCTACCCCACATGGCTCTGGAATGAATTTTGCCAGCGTCCTCCATTGCTACTCACCGTCTCGATCTCTGGGTCGTCCTCAGAGTGCTCCCTCACCACCACAGGAATACGGGCCCGGATTTTCTCATTCACGTTCTCCTCTAGGGCCACCACCTGTTCTGCTGTCACTGAGGGCGTGTCCAGCTCGATGACGGTGCGCTGATGGCCTAGCTCCCTGCAAGGACCACAAACATCAGACACACCTGCCAATACAACAGAGGACACAAGCTCAAAAGTCCCTCTGTGCAACACTGGGCATGGCGCAGGAGGAAGCACCTTGGAATTCTGTTACTGGAGCAAAGCACATGTGTGCACACTCTCTCTCTCTCTCTCTCTCTCTGTGTATATTGTTTACATCGCACCAGATGTGTGCTTGAACAGAGAGGCACAGCAATGCTCCACACAGCTTCTCTCCAGTGCAGTCACTTCTCCCATGCCTTCTGCAGCCAAGTGGAATGTCTCTGCATGCCACACTCCATGCATTTATCTACATTCATCCCTCAGGACCCAGCATTGTGGCACAAGCCAAACAAGGTTTAAGGACAGAGTTAAAAGGAACACTTTTCCTGCTCACCATGAAGTTGTTTTGAATCCAAACATCAGATCTGCAAGGGCAGTGATGAGATGCTGCCCTGGAAGAGAAGTGCAAGCAATGGCTGTGAGGTTTTAGTTTATTTTTACTAGTGCTAGGCACGCATGCACACACACAGAACGACTCCCCCAGCCATCCCTGGGAACGAAAGAATGTGACTGCCTGTTGCGAGGAGTTCAAATCAGACAGCATCTCTCTGCTCCAAGTCTTCTTTGTTTATAACCCACAACAGCACCTGCAAGGATAGCACCTACCTTCTCGAGAGTTCCAGAAATGCCCCAGAGAACCCAGCAAATCAGCCCCTCCTAATAGAGAAAACTAAGTGGTCACTAGCCACATCACCTACAGAAGGAGTCACTGATATCCCCGATCCCCCTCCAAACTCCTCAATCCCGGCCTGGAGCCCCCTCCTGCACCCCAAGCCCCTCAGCCCCACCTGAGAGCCCACACCCCCAGCCGGAGCGCTCACCTTCCCTCCCCGTGTGCCCTGAGCTCTCTCCCGCCCTCTGAACCCTTCGGTCCCACCCTGAGCCCCCTCCTGCACCCCAAACCCCTCATCTCCAGCCCCAGCCCGGAGCCCTCACCCCCTCCCGCGCCCCAAGCCCCTGAGCCCGCCAAGTGAGTGAGGATGGGGGGATGGAGTGAGCGGGGCGGGGCAGGGGTGTTTGGCTGGGTGGGAGTATAAAGTGGGCCCCCCTAGGAACCATATTCTCTGGGGGCCAAGGCGGGTCACCTGAGTGCTGCTGCATGTGGTCAAAGCGCCTGTCCCAGTCCACCGTCAGCAGCACCTCGCGGCCCGGCTCCAGCGGCGTCTGCACGAAGTGGACGGCAGCCGGGCCCTGCCGCGTCACGCGGAGCACGGGGATGTCCTCGATGAGTCCCCGGTCGTCGGGCTGCAGGGAGGAGCGTCCGGTCAGCCGCCGGTCAGCAGCTGCCCCCCCCGGACCGGACCGGACCGGCCCCGCCCCCACGAGCCCGTACCTGGCCCCCGCCCTCGGGGAAGAGAATCGTGTCCTCCAGCACCACGTGGAAGCCCCGCAGCGGCTCCGTCGCGCCGCCCTCGGCCGGCAGCTCCGCGGGGCGGCACGACGCGACCCTGGTGGTGAACTGCAAAACGGGGGGCGTCACGCGGGGCCCGGCACGCGCGTGTCACGCGTGGGAGCCCCGCGCGCCCCCGCCCCCGCCCCGCACCGACCCCGCCCCGCGGCTCCCGCACCTGCCGGGCCCAGCTGTCCCGCTGGCACTGGAACACCATCGCGGCAGCCGGCGCCGCGAGGGGACAGACAGCTGCCGGAAGGGGACGGCGAGCGGGAGGGGACACACACACACGGCCGGCGAACGCGAGCTGCGGGCGGAGACGGCGAGCGGGAGGGGACACACGACCGGCGAACGCGGCCGGGAACAGAGGGGGCGGGGGGGATGACGCCATGGGCCTGTCTACACCCTCTCCTCCCCCCCCCCCGGGTCCATGGGCTTTCCCCTGGAGCTCACCCCCGCGGGACCCACGGGTGTCCCCCTGTGACCCACGTGTCCCCCGGGACCCACGGCCCGTCCTATGGGTCTGGGTTGTGGGGGTCGGCGAGCCCCCCCACCCCGGGGCAGCAGCCTGGCCTGGGGAGCTGCCCTGTGGGCGGGGGTGTCTCCGCGTCTCCCCTGGACCCTGCAGGCCCCAGGCCCATAGCCGTCCCCAGAGGCGAGGGCCCCGGCTGCCCTCTGTCCTGGGCGGGGGAACGTCTCGGGCACCAATGGCACTTGGAAAACCGGGCCCCAGTGTGGCAGGAAAACCCAAGCACAGGAACAGCCAGCGTGGCAGGTTTACCCTTTATTAACAGGCTTTCTCTCCCCCCCCCCCCCGGTCCCCCCAACGCCGGGGAGAGACGGACGAGGGGAGAAGGGTCTCGGCAGCAAGAGGAACAGGCGGCAGGTGCCGAGCAGGGAAGATGGCTAAATCTGGGCAGCGTGGCTGAGTACCATCAGCACAGAGCCAGAGGCGGTGCCAGGGGAGGAGAGAAGTGACTCGGGCTGGTTCGTGGCAGTATAAGTGGCAATAACGGGGTGAAATGAGACACAGGAACCCGGTGTCTGGCTGTGGAATCGTCTCCTAATGGAAGTGGCGGCAGTTCCAGGACTTGGCATGTTTGAAACTAGACTGCCCGATGCAACAGGAAACAGTCCCACGCTGGGTCTGACTTCAAGGGCGGGCAAAACGGGACCAGCAGGGCTTTTCCAGCTCTCGGGTCCGTGATTGTGGAATTCGGAGCCAAAGTCTGAAGCAGGCGAATCCCTGGCGCATTTGAACCACAGTGGCACTTACACTGCTACCTCCCTCCCCAACTCGCTTCATCTCAGCAGCTGCTGTCATGTCTCTGTGGGGAAAAACAGGGCAGTCAGAAAATGCGCCCCTGGGTGGGGGCAGAGCAGGGAGTCAGGCCTCGAGGGGACAGAAGGGGACAGGATGAGAGCAGGGGGAGGGTCAGGCCCCCAGGAGAGAATAGGTACCACAGGGAATAGTGGGAAGGCGGGCAGCTATGTCACTCTCAGGTGATCCAGTGAATGCCAGAGCTGCACCCAGCTCTCCTGGGCCAGGAAGACAATTGGAAGGGCAGAGAATAAGGGCTGCATGCAGCGCTCTCATCCCCGCCAGCCTCCCCTTAAGTCCTTTCAGATCCCAGAGGGCGCTAATCCTGGTCACTGTCAGCAGGTCAGGATGCACATCTCCCATCAGGTAACAGGGAGGCTCAGTTGCAGCCAGTTAGTGCTTCAGGGGAGTTCTTACCACCAGGGTCTGTGCTTTCAAATGTCATCCTGGAAAAGAGACGGAAAGTCGGACAGTGAGGCTAGAAAGGACACGGAGTGTTTCCCTTAATGCTACATGTGACCATAGAATGGAGTGAAACAAGGACAGTCCATGGTACCAGACACCCTGGGACTCAGGCAAGTTAGAAATGCTCAAGACTTCCAGTTTTTCCAGGACCCTGAAATGTGTGTTGGGCCTAGAGTGTGGAAGGAAACCCTGAAAAACCAGCCTCGACCACATGCTGCTGGGCATAAGCTAATGGCCACAGGGTCTGGAAAGAACCCTGCCTTGGTGAGCATAATGAGGGTTTTCAGCTTCAGGGATTGGCTACTGGCACAGGCCGGAGACCACACTAGACAGGCCAGTCATCTGTTCTAGTTGTGCAGGAGGTTTGATACTGAATTAGATGCACCATTTGTTCCTCTGCACCCCAGGATAGCAGCAGGCAGGATTCCTTGCTGGTTCCCTTCCTGCTCCTCCTGTGTTCTTAGATGTATTTTTCAATGAACAGGGCAATGACCGTTATGCTGGGAGGTGTTCCCACAATTGCACAGAGCAGGTCTCCACGCCCAGAACACAGGCCACTTAGCATAGTGGAAGTTCAGAGAACCGTTGGCCTGGAAGAAGTTTGGCTTTAGTCCATGCTGAGACGAGGTTCCCCATTGGCTGGCAGAGATGGAGCAGCTGGGAGCCAGGCTTGGGAACTGGGAGGGCCAGAGGCAAAGAGCCTGGCTATGTAAAAAACCCCAGAACTTACTGTCTCAGCAAGGCAGTGACCAACTGTACTTACATCAAGGTCGTCCATTGCAGGGGGTGTTCCTTTAACAGTGACCTTCTGCAGGAGCTGGACGGGAAACAGACAGTCATGGGAATAAAGAAAGGAACCCACAACAAAAGTGGCGGGGCTGGAGTGTCTTCTCCTCCCAGGCAGCGCCTTCCACCCCCAGGGATCCCAGCTCCCCTTGTGACACAGACCCACAGTGGGGAGAGGGAGAAGCACGTGTCCTGTGCATGCTTGGCTCAGCTGGTTCATCCAAACCTTGCCCAGGTGGAAGTGACTTTGGCTGCAGGTTGTACCCCAAGGTTTCCACTGGATTTTAGCCCAGTGCCAGTGGCCGTCTTGGGGCCTCCTCACTCCTGTTGAAGGCAGCTCCCACAATGGGGCTCTATGTAAGACAGACCCCCTGATATCATGGGGTAGGATCGTTGATCAGGTGGACGGGGCACTAGAGTGGGATGCAAAAGACCAAGGCTCAGTCCCTGGCGCAGTCAGACTCCCTGTGTGACCTTGGACAAGTCCCTTCCCTCAGGGCCTGTTCCCCCTCTGTAGCATGGGGTTGATGCTTCCCTGTCTCTCAGAGGTACTGTGAGGCTAAATGCATTGACTAGGAGGTGCTCAGATACTCACGGGGGCCAGACAAGTACCCAGCGAGACCGAAATACCAGGGTTTCTACTCAATAGTTCTCCCAATATGGCTCTTACTTCTCCCTGGCTGTGCATTAAGATCCATGGCCTGCTATTGTCCATACCTCACCTCTCCAGTTTGGCCAAAGCCATGGTGCATTTCTGCTCCTAGCCAGTTGGTGGCGATACTGAGCCACACGGCAACAGCCACAGCTGAAATTTCTCTTCCCCAGTGGGTCTCAACCTATTTATCATTGTGGACTGCATATGTGGCCCACAATGTGTTACCTGGGCCGCAGGTTGAGAACCACAGTGTGCCCCCACAGACCCTTATGCCCAATTCCTCCCACCCAGAGACCCCTCCACAGAGTGGGGCCAGGGGTGGAGCCCTGGGCAGAGGGCCAGCCAGCAGCCCTGGACCCCCGCCATGGTGTGCAGCCCGGTCCCCACAGGGTGGGCTGGCGGCCTTTAGCACACAGCTGGGCCACAGCAGTGTGCTAATTGGGACGTGGGTTGAGAACCGCTGTTCTAGCCATTCAGTCTGGAGTCAACAGTGAGTTTTTAAGGCAAGCTGGGACATTCCCCAGGCAGTGCCTGGTGGAGATCAGTTGGTTTTAGGGACAGTCATTTCATCATATTAAGTAGGTCTCACAATAGGTTTTACAAAGTGCAGCAGTGCTTGCCTGTGCTGGATAATGGACACTTTACTGAGCTAATGCTCAGACTTTCCTCCTGACCCAAGACCTTTGCATTGAGTAACACGAAACAGGGATAACTGAGAAAGGCCCCCTACAGCACCTTCGCCCCGAAGGTCTCGGCCCCAGTGGGCTCTGCATGGGGCCTCGAGTCACTGCTTGGGATCTTGTGATGCAGCTATCTCACTGCTCAGACCCAAATAGAAATGCAGTAACCTAAGACTTACCTCTGCATACTGCTCAGTCATGGCCATTTCTGCCTCCTCATCCCCTTCCCAGTCTCGCCAGTTATCAAAGTCCACAAACAGCCAGACTGGCTAGGAGCAAGCAGGAGAAACAGCATCACAACAGATGGCGGCGCAGCGCTGAATGCAGCAAGTCTGATGCCTTTGGGGGACCGGGGGGCTGGCTGGGGATGGGATATGGACAACACCAGCAGGGGCGGGGGTTATGAGGCCTTCCACCTTTAGAGTATTGGTTCCACCCCAGCCTGAGTTCGAGGATCTATGGCCTTTCGCTGCAAGGCACTGATGGAGATTTGGCCCAGATCAGTAATGCCCAGCAGTCATTACCAGATGATGGCTATTCAGCAACCCCTTGTTAGCAGTCCAGCGTGGGGCTCTGTTGTCATGAACTGAATGGTGGTGGTGCTCATGGTTCAGAGCTCCACTGTGCAGGGCGTTGCACACAGAACAGAGAGAAGGTCCCTGTCCCAAGGCGCTTAGGAGTCCAAGCTGCACCCCCCCCCCAGGGGTCTCGCCCATCGGAGCTGAGCCAGGTGCAGTGAGTGGTGCTGGGCTGGTGTCCGTGGTACGTGCTCTATAGCCAGAGGATTTCAGTCTCTGGGAGCTGCTTACCTGGCACCTTTCACCAGCACTAACCAGGGCCATGCCAGAGTGAGCAGCAGACAGTGCTGTGCCAGCCCCTGGCAGTGCCCACACTGCATAGCATGGCACCCACAGGTGGGAGAAACTCTGAGCTTTTCACTGGGGAAAGACAACTCCAAAGGAAGGGGCCCTGGCTGCTCAGGCCCTGTGTTTACCTTGATGTTCTCCTTGGTGAGGCGCGGCCATGCCACCTTCTCCTTCCACTTCCTTATGAAGCAGGTGATGGAGCGGTCAGAGCGCTTCTGCTGCGAGTCCTGCCAAGGGACAGAACAAAGACACCTTGCCTGACATGGCTTCTGGGCACCTCTCTCCCTCTCAATAAGCCGAGATGCCCAGAATTAAAATGAACCCCTTCCCGAGCTCTGAGACACATGGGAAAGTCCCTGGAGACCAAGACTCAGCCTGCAGGAATCGAGGTGCAAATCTGGGTACGGGAGAGCTGGCTGTAAGAGGAGAATGCAGGAGAAGCAGGGGCTTTCCTGGGGATACCTGTGATGGCCTTGAACCATCTTCTCCATGCAGCCGGGCCTGCTGGGCGTCTCTGATTCATTTAGCTGGGCAAAGTCTCCTGGGTGCAGGCAGTGATGGCCACAACCCAAAACAAAGCACCGTTGGGGGCTGATGGGAAGGGCTGGGTAGGGCTGATGGCATAGCAGCACCAAGAGATGCCACCTAATCGCATCCCTTGGGTGCCCAGCCAGGTCTCCCAACCTCTGGGGACGGTGGGTGTCTGGGGTCATGCTCCTGGTGAGCAATGAGATCCCATGACGTGATAGGCCAGGATGGCCTTGGGCAGTGTGGAGGCAAATCTCTCCCCCGCCCCCCAAGCCCTTCCACGGGTTGTCATAAGCTCACGGTCCCTTTGGAGACATCGAGGCCTGTAGGAGTTGGACTCGCATGCCTCACCGCACGGGGCGGCTGCTCACTTTGGAGTTCACCCTGGCGTACAGGTTGATCTCGTTGTACATCTCCACGCCGTCTGCATTTTTACAGCTGCCAAAACACAAACTCAGTTAGCTCAGAACTGGGCTTGGACCTCCTCCGTGACGATCTCTAAGAGGATCCTTCCTGCTGGCCCTGCCCTGTACAGCTCCCGGTTCAGGGCCATGCCACTGAGTGCCGGTTACCAGGGCCTGTAGTGGGGCTGGAAGCTCACCTGAACACCACCAGGTGGTCTTCAATGTCGACTTTAACGTCTGTGCTGTCCTCCACGCAGAACTCCAGGAAGACGTACCAGGGGCGGTCGTACCACAGCGTTTTTGCAGGTTGCCTTGGCAAACAAGAGACCGTTCAGAAGGGATGAATTCCAGGGAGCAGAGTGAGAGTGGCGTTCCTGTGCCACCTTTCGTCTCCTGGCTCCCCACAGCAGCAGGTTGTGTGTAAGGCGTTGTGTGGAGTTATCAGAGCAGCGTTAAGCTGCCCTTGTTACACCTGTCTGGGCCAGACGATTGGCATGTAGGAACAGGGAGAGGGCGAGACCCAGGGAAAGGGGGCAGGCGCCAGGCAGACAAGAAGCTGGCTGCAGATTCAGCAGACTTGTTGCTACACTTCCAAAAAGCATCATTTTATCTTGGCAGCATCCCGGGAACTGGCCTCTCTCAGCACCTCAGCGACAGAGAATCCTGCAGCAGCATGTGCTCAGAGAGGGACCTCCCAGAGACACAAGGCTTTTGGGAGTGAAGCCTGCATGTGCAAGGCAAGGGACGGCCCTCACTAAGCACAATCGCTCACTGGAGCGCAGTCACAACCCCCAAGACCGCTGCCCTCGCCTCGGAAAGTGCCCAGGCAGACCTAGATCTGAAAAGTCATCCCTGCCTGCCAGACAGATCCCCAGAGAGCCCCTGCCACTGCCCCATGGGATCTGGACAGTGGGGAAAGAGGAGCTGCGGGGTCTGGGGAGCAGGATTTGTTTAATACTTAATGAGCGGCGTCTGAAATAAATCAGAGCACGCTGACTGCACTGCTGAGCATCCCTCCACGTTTCACTGGGCCCTGCTGGCTGGCACCAGGTAACAGAGATTCGCACCGACTCAGAACAAATTCCTTCAGCGTCTCTAACTGCCAGTGAAGTCCAGCCCCTAGGGAGACTTTGCTATTCTGGGGACAGATTCCGGGGGTCGCCCCACTGCCATGTGGTCTCATTCACCTGAGCAGACCCCTGCTTTATAGCCACCTCTCCCCACAGGCGGTTGCCGTCTGCAAGAGCCGAAGGCTGCAGGGCCTGTAAACAGCCTGGGCTGAGGCTTGGGTGAGCAAATTCCCATTTTCCCATGGCATTTGCCTCAGCCTCTCAGCGGGGCAAGGGCAGGAGACAAGACAGGCCGAGCAGGGCCCAGAATTCACCGTGGAGTCATGTTACAGGAGCCCGGTACATCCCGCTGGCCCGGGGCCACCCAGGGTCTGACTGCATGGCAGCCAGACGTGGGCGAGCAGGTTGGCTAGTGCTCTCAAAATGGCTGAATAGACAGGCTTTGAGGTTACACTTGGGTTCTGAAGCTCACCCCCCTCTGGAGGCTTCAGAGCCTGAGCTCCTCCAGCCCCCAGTCGAAACGTAAAGAGTTGTCTACACAGCTATTTGGAGAGCCCAAGCCTGTCCCCCAGGGCAGAGTGACAGAGAGCCACCTTTCCCCCTGTGTGGTGGGGCATGGAGGGGCCCCGGGCCAGCTGGGGTGTCTCCTAGCGAGTTCCTAGGGCTGGAATAGGTGGGACTGTTTCCAGGTTCCAGTCAGACAGGAAAAGTCCCAGCTGAGGGTGTGAGTGTCCCAGTGACCCGAGTGGGGGCTGGTGGGTGGGGGGGGTGACCCGAGTGGGTGGTCCGGGGGTTGTGTCCCGGGGGGGGGGAGGAAGGGGGAGGCAGTGACCCAAATGGGAGATTGTATCTCTAGTGGGGGTCCCAGTGACCCAAGTGATGGATAGTGGCCAGGTGTGTGTGTGTGACCTGAGTGGGAGCTCCAGGGGTCGTGTCCCAGCCGGGGGGGGCAGTGACCCGAGTGGGGGCGGGTGGTGACCAAGTGGGAGCTCCAGGGGTCGCGTCCCAGCCGGGGGGCGGGGAGGGCAGTGACCCGAGTGGGGTCCCGGGGGTCGCGTCCCAGCCGGGGGGGGCAGTGACCCGAGTGGGGGCGGGTGGTGACCAAGTGGGAGCTCCAGGTGTCGCGTCCCAGCCGGGGGGAGGGGGGGCAGTGACCCGAGTGGGATCCCGGGGGTCGCGTCCCAGCCGGGGGGGGGGGC